GTCAAAAAAGTTTATAAAAACGAAAGTAAATACTTATAACCTATGTATGAGAACTCTGTATATTTCTAGCATCAAACTATGCAGTACATTATCATATTCCAAGAGCTTATTAAAAAAAATAGTACATAGGTATTAGGTAAATATAAAAAGTAAACACAGTGTAACCTATTTCTATTTATTATTAAATTATATCATTACACAGTATTATATAGGGTACAAAAAATTTCACTATACTTTTAGGGTACACTTATATTAATTCTTATAGTTTTTATTTAAAAAAAAAATTATAAAATATTTTTATTTTTTAAAAAAATAGATCAGATATGAATTTATAAAATTTAAGTAGCCAAATTTGTCTGCTTAAATGGATAGTTTAAGGGATAATATAAACCAATATAAAAATTATTATTATAAAAATAATAAATCTTTAAATATTAATAACTTTTAATCTATTGATCCAATTTGAATAATTTAACTACTAAAATAATTCTCTCATAGAGATGATTCTAATAAATCTAAAATCAGCTAAACTGATCATATGTCTTGAGATAGTTAATGTTTTATATTATATTTACTATAATAAATATAATATAATCTTGAGCATGATTATATAATTAGATTTGGTTGATTTTAGATTTATTAGAATTGTTTCTATAAAAGGATTATTTTGGTAGTTAAATTATCTAAAGTTATTAATTTTTAAAGATTTTATTATTTTTATTAATAAAATTTTTAATAATTTTAATTTTTTTTTAATTGCTAGTTCTTTTTAAATACAGGTCAAAATACTGATCTTGACAACATATACTCAAGAAGAGTTAACTATATTATGCTCTTGTAGAGTTTATTTAAAACTTCATTATTTATATAATTTATTTTCTCTAATTTATAAACTTTTTTAGCTTTTTGAAAGTATTTTAATTTAATAATCTAAAAAGTTGGATTTGCCAAACCTTTGATTTATAGTTATTTCAACTCTAGTATATACTTTTGTAGTATATATTCTTTTTTTTTAGTTTGTATTTTTGAGAATTTTTGTATTTTTATTTCTAGTTATAAATCTTAGTATCTAAACAATTAATAAAGATCAGTTATTGTAATACAAAATATTTATTTAAAATAAACTGCACAAGCTTCGATAGACAATATCACGCGCGTGTAGTTGGCCTGCTTTATTATTGGCTGCCCATATTTTGTAGCAAATTTACATGATTGAGTTACACATATTTTTTTTTTTTATATATATATCTTTAACCTCTATTATTTTGCAGTTAGGCTGTTTTATTTTGGCTGCAGTTCGCGCTTCAATAGCTGCCTCGCTATGACAACTGAACAATCTGACGCTCAGGAAACAGTTCAAAACAATACAAACGAAGATACTAACGAAAATCTTAATTTCACACGTGATGGTGATGACGACTACAATGTGTTTGGTACAAGTGTCATCGACTCCGATTCTGAAACTAATGACTTGAACCCACATATAGTATAGACTCCCCACAGGGAAATGGTGCGTCTCCCAACCAACATTCATAAAGGAAAATTGCTTTCAAAGGATGAAAGATCTACAATCCTCAGAAACGAACCACACAACGTGCAAATCAAATATAACCCACCTACTATGGATAAACGAATGTGGAAGCTACTTTCTTCACACATGAAGGAAACTGGCAAAACTTTATCTAAGGTATCATACAGAACATCAGCAGTGCTACGACCAATTGAGAACGCGCTTAAATCTGTATATACATCAAAACCACCTGACGAAGAGACTGAAGCTATTTATGTGTGGGAAGCTATTGAAAATTCACTCAAAAACGCCAGAGCATTATTACTGAACTCTTTATCTTATATTAACAAGGCTCGAAGAGACAATGCCATTAAAAACATATCACTTGAATACAACCCACCTAATGAAAATGAGGAAGTATTTGGACAAGACCTCAAGACTATCATTGAGAATGAGAACGCTACCAACAAATTTATTCAACAGGCTCTTAGATACAAGAACCATGCTTCTTTTTCTAGAGACAACACTAGTAACAACACAAGAACAACTCATTCTCGCTTCAATTCCAGTTCAGCCTGTAGTAGATGCAGAAACTACTGGTTCTACAATAAAAATTTCAACAGGCAAGGAAATGTACAAAGAGGCGGCTAGCCATCACAGCTGGCTCGCCATATACAAGAGATTAATAAGTTACCAAGAGAAAGACTTCTGCATAGCCTGAAGGTTAGTGTGGTACAAAGAGCAATAAGATCAGTCCATAGGCCCTTCTTGGACAACTATGATTTTGCAACGAGAATATACACCAGAATGGCACACACTATCACCGCTAAAAATATAACCAATCTCCCAAGATATTATCTTAAACAAGGACCAAAGATTTATTATCAAACAAGAAATAGACACTTTGCTAAACAAAGGAGCGATCATCAAAGTACCAATGCAAGCTCTGTGTTTTCTCTCCCGAATATTTGTTACTCCCAAAAAATTTGGTCAAACAAGGATAGTTATAAATCTAAAACAACTCAATACCTACGTTCGCTTTATCCATTTCAAAATGGAGACAATAGAATATGTAAAAAATATTATAAGAGGAACGACTACTTTACCTCTATAGACATTACAGATGCTTTTTTGCATATATTGCTGTTATAGCAGGCACAATCTTACTTTACGTTCGATTTCACACAACAGAGATACCAGTACACATGCTTACCCTTTAGATTGACCAGCAGTCCCAGAGTGTTCACCAAGATACTAAAACCTCTAATCGCATTAATGAGAACAAGAGGAATAAGAGTAATAGCCTACATAGACGATTTTCTGATCTGCTCATCATCGAAAAAGGAAGCAATACAACACACTAACGAAGTGCTACAAGTATTAACCAAGCACGGGTTCATTATAAATTACAAAAAATCGAATCTCACACCGTTAAGGAAAATACAATATTTGGGATTCACAATTAATTTAAACACAATGACAATGGCTTTACCAAAAGCAAAGATAACGAACATTATAAGGGAATACAGGTCCATAGTGAACAAACCCACAATACACATAAGAAAATTAGCAGCGATCATAGGAAAACTTTCAGCCAGTATTGGTGCTGTGCTCCTAGCAAGACTTATAACAAGAGCCCTGATAAGGGACAAAAACAAAGCATTAAAAAACAAAGGTTGGAACTGCACACTAACCCTATTCACGGAAAGCTACCAACAATTGACATAGTGGTCACAGAACCTAACAAAATGGAACGGCATAAGCCTGATCTCGGACATTCCAACTACAGTCCTTTACACCAACGCATCCAAAACGGGTTGGGGAGCAGTGCACAACACATGGCTTATTTCTGGTCATTGGGACCACGAACAAAGCAAGCTATACATAAACATTTTAGAAATAACAGCGATACATTATGCCTTTCTAGTACTAAAAGACTTAAAAGACAAGGCAGTGATAGTAAAATCGGACAACATAACTTGTATAGCCTACCTGAACCACCAAGGGGGCACAATCTCAACAAACCTGAGTCTATTAGCAGAGAAAATTTGGAAACTATGCATGATACGGAACATCAGGTTGATAGCACAACACATATCAGGCAAACAAAATATACTAGTAGACTTAGCATTGAGAAAAGCATTAGATCACCATGTTGAATGATAAAACCCAAGATTTTCCAAAAGATTCAAAGGATCTGGGGCTTATTACAGGTGGATCTGTTTGCTAACCATATAAATGCACTACTACTGAAGTACTACTCGAGATATCCAGACCCCGGCTGTGCAGCAGTGGATGCACTGATACAGGACTGGAAGAATCAGAAGGGTTGGGCCAACTTACCGTGGATACTAATCCACAAGATCTTATTGAAGGTTATCAAAGACAAAGCAACCATAGTGATTCTGGTCCCATATTGGACAACAGCATCTTGGTTTCTGACACTGTTAAACCTCTTAATCGAACCGCCCCTACTGATTACGAACAAGAATCCATTTGTTCCAGGACAGATAAGTCAACAACATCCAATGTGCAATCCAAGGTGGAAGATCTTTGCCTGTCTTATCTCAGGAGCACCCTGCAAGAGAAAGAGTTTTCGGAAAAAGCTATCAGTTTGGTCAAAGAAGCTTCACATCAATCATCAAATAGTACAGTGGGATCAGCACTTAAAAAATGGGTGGTTTGGTGCGACAAGATCTCAATTAATCACATACGATGTCCTTTAAAAAACATATTAGACTACTTAACTGAAATGGCAACCAAAGGTTTTGTATACAATACAATAGCAACTTATCGAACCACTATTAGTGAAGTACACGAAGCAATTGATAACGTAACAGTAGGTCGACACCCATGCATTGCTAAGTTAATGATCTCTATATACAAGAAAAATCCACCTCCACAACCACCCAAGGATGTAATTGATATAATACCTTCGCTAGAACACATTACATCAATGGGCCACAATAAAGACATGATAATTCAAAACCTGACCAAAAAAACTGCATTCTTGATTGCAATTACATCAGCGGCAAGACCCAGTGACTTACATCGTATATCATTAATCAATGACTGAAATAGAAGATAGATTTTCATTTGATATAATTAGCCCCAAGGAACACAATATCTCATTGGCACACGGAGATAAAAAACCTAGGCAAAAAACACTCATAGTCGAATACTACAAGGATGATCTATTTTTATACACAGTATCAGCATTATTGAAATATATTAACCACATAAAGGAGTGGAGAAATAATGAGTCAAACAAAGATGCATTATTCTTGTCAACAGCCACAGCTTACCCACCAGCATTTGTGGATACTATTTCTGGATGGCTCAAGAATATACTAACATTCGCGGACCCTGACGCGAAAGCTAAAGACATTAGAGCGATATTGGCAAATCTTGCCCACAAAGCAAGGACCAGTGTGGATACATTACTCACATTCAAAAATTGGTCATTTAATGAAGTATATAAAAGGGTTTATCAGAGAGGCATGAAAAAGACACTAATGAAAAGCCACCTACCAACAAAGATTTTAGATCAAGTGAAAAGGATGTAATTACTCCATAGCTACACATGATATTGTCTATTGAAGCTTGTGCAGTTAGTGGAAATAACATAATTATGTTATTTCCACTTAGTCTAGGTTATTTTCACTCAAGTATAACAACAGAAATGCATCACCGTTGTCATTCGAGTGACAACAGAAATGCATCACCGTCGTCAGAGATATATTAGTATTCGCTCTATCATTCGAGTGACGAATGATTCACGCTTGCGTCGTCATTCGAGTGAC